ATGGAATGGATTGGCAGAAGTTCTGTGCAATTTCCTAAGCTCTCCGTAACTCCACCTCCACTCTCATTCAGGAAAACACATGCCACATGGGGGAGGGGGGCTATAAGAACCTTGCATCAGTTGCAGTTGTTTTCAAAACACAGTTTTGGAGGGAGGGGTCTCAATGTTTGATGCCTTCACTGTTCTTAGTAACCTTCGCCATGAATTATAATCTGCAGTGTTTTGTTCAGTAAAGGGCCTCATGGGCTAAATGAAAGGCTTGGAGGATGGGTGTACAAAGCACATGTGCTTGAATGGAGGGTTTATGTAAGAGTTGGGGCTGGCATTGCAGGGTGAGGTCAGACTGTAGAATGTCAGACTAAGAGGTGGCGAGGAATTTCATTCCGTAGCCAGTAAGGATCCTGTAAAGTTGGGAGGGCAAATCAGTTTTATCTCACAGGACAAGGCTAATGGATTGGTGCTGCAATGAGGTTTATGAGGCTACATCCCAGTCTCAGCTGAAGAGAGGACATTGACTGATTAGTGATGTCTGCTCCGGGCACAGGACTGCTGAGTGGTGGTGGTATGCGCCATGTATTTGCCAGCCCTGTAATGAAGCTTCTTAAGTGGGCTAAGCTATGAGAGTCAGAGTGATAAGGGGGGCAGGGCCATCACTAACCTGGGAGATAGGAGACCCACGTAGTAGTTGGAGTTTTGTCTCCATCCACTGGGATGCCTTGGTCTCTCGGAGCCTGAATTTCTATAGATAAAAAATGAGGAAGGGTCGGTAAGAAAATTTCCAAGTGCTGACATTCTGCAGTGTTAGGACAAGAGCCATGTTTTTTGTTTTTTGTTTTTTAAAGATTTTATTTATTTATTCATGAGAGACAGAGACAGAGACAGAGGCAGAGGGAGAAGGAGCCTGATGCCGGACTCGATCCCAGGACCCTGGGATCATGACCTGAGCTGAAGGCAGACGCTCAACCGACTGAGCCACCCAGGCGTCCCAAGAGCCATGTTTTTTCAGGGCCCACGGGGTGGTATACAGTCCACATTTCTTTTGGACGTCCTGGACACCAGCTTCCACTTCGGGCCCTGACTGGGCAAAGCCCAGAGTTGGGGTCAGCTTCGACCTGGCCGAGGGCCCCAGGTTCAGTGTGAGAGGTGCTGGAAGTGCCTTCGCTGACAGGAAGGCCTGGGACTATTCTCTGGGGCCCTGTATTTCATGCACCTGTTGGCTCTGGGATTTACACAGGATGTTTTGCTCATAGGACTGAGCCAGCCCTGATAAAGTGACTCTCAAATGGGGGTAGAGAGTGTGTTCCCCCGCATCCCCACAGAGCAAAACAGGGCTGAGGGGCAGCCTGGGTCTGTCCCAGGCGGAGCTGATGCCCTGAGAGTCTGTGGCAGCCCCGTCCTCACCAGGCTGGCCCTCAGCCCTGTGGTCCACCTTGTGGCGGTGGCCCACAGCTTCTCACAAGCTCTTGGATGTCCATTGCCGCTCAGGTGAGACACACCTTTACCTTTGGCTGCTTCTCCAATGTCTCTGTCTTGGCTGAGGCTGGGCACATGCCCATAAGGAGGTCCTAGAGGGGTTTGTTCTTGGGAGAGGAAGCTGGAGTGCTGGAATGTGAGCAAGCTTGAGGAATAAGGACGGCCCCGAGCTGCGCAGGGGACCATCAGCCAGATACTCATTCACTTCCTCACTCTTCTTCCTTCACTCACTGGTTTGTCCAACAGCCCCTAGGCATTTACTCTTCTATCAGACACTGAGCTTCCCACAGAGCCCCCCATCCGGACTCTTGCCCTCTCTCAGCTCCTCTTCTCGTCCTGGCTCTTCCTCTGATGGAACAGCGGTGGGAGCAGGGCCTACTCCCGCTGAGGCCCAGCCCCCACTGTGCTCTGGGCCCCAGCAAGTGAGGGGAGTGGAGTTTTGCTGCCTGATGCAATGTCTGGCAGGGCCTGTCCCTTATCAGAGCTCCATTCCCAGCAGACTCTGGGACCCCACCTTCCCTTAGGGGAGGCAGGGGCAGGCTGGGAGGCCTCCAAGTAGAAAACTGTTGTCTAGTGAGGGCCCCCTCGCGGGGCGGGAGGGAGGCCTGGCTAGAAAGGCCCCCGAGGGGAGAGGAAGGTAGAGAGGCCGGTGCCTAGAGTTGGGGCCTTAGCCCAGCCCACTTTCTTTTCAGTATTCCCTCACTCAGATTTGTCTGGGATACCCTTGGTGGTTTCCTGCCCTCCCATCATTAGCACATCGCTGTAGAGGCTTGAACTGAAAGCCCCAGGGCTTCGTTTCTTCATCCTCAAAATGACATCCCAGATTGTTAGTGATAATTCAAGAGACTGATGTATGTAGGGGCGCCCAGGTGGTTCAGTCGTTAAGTGTCTGCCTTCAGCTCGGGTCGTGGTCCTGGGGTCCTGGGATCGAGCCCCACATCAGACTCCCCACTGCTTCTCCCTCTCCCTCTGCTGCTCCCCCTCCTTGTGCTTGCTCTCTCTGTCAATAAGTAAAATCTTTTAAAAGAGAGAGAGAGAGACTGATGTATGTGAAGCCCCAAGTGTGAAGTTTTGCCCATAGGACGCACTCGTAGTATTTGCCTGTAGTACACCCTGGGGCGTATACTCAGAGCACACACACCCATAGGGCACAATCATAGCACAGACATGGCTCGTCTAGGGAACAAGCGCTTTTTCTTCTTCATATATCCCATCAACTTAGAATCTGAGTGAGCACCTCCCGCTGGGCCGGATGCTTTGGTAAAGGATCCATTTATTCCACAAGTATTCTGGAGTACCTGCTCTGTGCCCGGGACACACAGAGTAGGGCTCAGGGATTCTGGGCACAGAGTACAGAGGTGGAACAGACGGACGAAGCTCTCCTCTCATGGAACCTACACAGCAGTGGCTGAATTAGGCAAGAAACCAGTACATTTCCATCCAGGAAGGAAATAAAGCAGGATGCTAAGAATGGAAGTGATGGGGGAAGGGAGATGGTCAGCGTGAGGCTGATGGTCAGGGCAGGGCTCCAGGGGGGGGCTCCAGAGCTGAGCACTGGGGATGACTGGGCCACGGGGAGCTGTCCCACCCCTGCTACATCCCGGCAGAGCTGGGCTGGCATGCTTCTGGCCTTCTTCCCCATTGGCCCTAGTGCCCTGGAAATGGGACCTTGGCTGGCATCACCCCTTTTCCTTTGGCTGTCACATCACTTGCTGGATGGCAGGGGAGAAAATGTATCGAGTACTCCCCTGGGAGGCAGCATCTGCCAAGAGAAGGAAACGATGTTTCATTCTTCCCATGAGCTAAGCAAGGGTGCATCCTGGGTTTTGGGAGGGAGTAGCACAAAGGTTTGACTAGTGTTGACAGATGTCACAGACCCAGTTCTTACAGAGGGCCTCTGCCGGGAGCTTTGCCAGGTGACCCCCATCCTTACCCCATCTTCCTCCCTGGTGACCCTGTGACCTCCTGGCCCCTGTGGCCCTCTCCCACCTCCTGGGTCTGAGGACCTCCCACATTCCCCTTGGGACCTCTAAACCTCCCTCACCTGCCTGCCCAGCATCTGCTGGGCTTCCAGAGCTGAAGCGAAGGGCAGCCTGCTGGGACAGGGAGAAGGCGCCGCCAGCCTGCCTTGTGTTTCATGTCAGAGTTTTCACCATCGCTTCTTCCTTTTAGGGCAGTGCTGGGAAGGTTCTTAGGAACCCTGTATTATTCAGGGGGGGGGAGGGGACTGGGATGGCAACTCAAAAATACAAACAATGCTTGCAAGGGAGGGGAGGAGAAGGTGCAGGAGCTCATCATCAAGGCAGCCGAACTTATAATCTTACTAAAGACTCAGAAGGGAGAGGACAGTGTGGGCAACTCCCCCCACCCACCCCTGCCTTTTCACCTCTCTTGTAGTTAATGAACACTTACCATGTCCTAGATATTATTCCTCACAGCGACCTTATGTGCAGGTTATTCATCCTACAGGTAAAGAAACTGAGGCCCAGAGAAGTTAAGTCACTCCTACAAGGTTACACAGCATGGTAGACATGCAGAAAGGACTAGAACCCAGGACTCCTGGTCCCAGCTCCTTCTGCTTCCCTCGCATCATCAGACACAGGCAACTCTCAGCCAAGAGACAAGAGGGCAGAAAGTCAGGATTTCAATCCCTTTTGCTCTGCAGACTCAGCTTTGAATCTCACCCTTCCAGAGAGACAGACGGCCTCACACTCCACAGGGTGTGAGGAGCATGGCTCTGCCCATCATTCTGCAAACTCACGCTGACAGCCTGCCAGGCACTGAGCCAGGCGCCAGCTTTGACAGGTTTGCTCACTCGTGGTTTGTTGGGCAGCTGGTATATGCTGGGTGCCGTTCTAGACGCTAGTCCCTACTTCAGGGGGCTCAGAGTCTGGGAAGGGAAGACAGACAGACCATAAGCTGGAAAGCCCAACCATATATGCTACAGTGGGGGTGACTGGGGAGCACTGAGAGGCTCGAATGACCTGGATCTTGGAGGGAGGATGAGGGCTGCTGCTGGGGGAAACTTGGACAAGTTATTTAACCCCTCAACCTCAGTTTCCTCATCTGTAAAATGGGATAGCTGCCACCTAATGGGACTTCTGTAAGGATCTGATGAGGAAATGCAAATCAAGTGCTTAGCATGGCACCTGGCACAGAGTAGTAAGCACTCAATAAATCTCAGCTACCGGATCATTCCAGTTGGCCCTTCCAACCCGAGTGTCAGCTCCATGAGGGCATGGATCAGCTGTGCTTGCTCACTGTTGTATCCCCAGTGCCTAGACCAGAGGCTGGCACAGAGTCGGTTCTCAGGAAGCAGCTGTTTCATGAGTATGTGGGGAAAGGCCCAGAAGAATTAGGAAGGGGCAGGAATATTCCAGTTGCCCTGGAGCTGGCCCTGCAGGCCTCCTCCCTCTGAGCCCATCCTCAATCACCCACACTCAGGAAGCCTCACCACCCCTCTGCCCTGCACAGCCGGGTCCCACCACTCAGCTGCCAGCTTACACACCTGCCTGCTCGTATTGCAGAGCCCCTGGCCCGCTGCTTTCCCCAGAGGACAGATGTTCTGGCTCTCCCTCTAGCCACTTCCATTTGTGTGATGAAGGTGCAACCCTGGGACCTGCCTTCCTGCCCTCCTACTCCCTCATGTGGACGTCAGCTGCTTCCCGTGGGAAAATCCATCTTTTCCAGAAAGAGAGATGATCCTGGGTGCACTGTACCAGGTCACAAGACTTTTCCACACTTGGAGTGATAGTATCCCATGAATGATGGTCCTTAAGGAGAAGGGATAGACTTTTGGACGGCGGGGCGGGGGAGGGGGTTGTGCTGGAATCTGGGGCCCATGACATGGACAGGTGTGTGTGTGATGGTGCGGATGAATGCAAGAAATGGGCTCCTCAGGCAATGCTGTATTTGCTCAGCTTTTAAAAATGTATACATCTTCCGTTGAGGGTCATCTATTCCTTTATCCATTCTGTCGTTTGGCAGCCATGCTCACGTGTGTCCTATGTGCCTGGCCCGTGCTAAAGAATAATGAGGGGCCTGGACAAACTCCCTTACTCCACAAAGGGATGATCAGCATTGAACAAATCATTGTAAGTGGGCTCACCTTAGGACAGTCTCAGATGCTAATAGGAGTCTTTCACGGTGGTGGGGCCAGGGGAACCCTAACCTAGCCAGGAGGAGGCTGCTCCAGGAGGCTGAGATGTGAAGGCTGAGGCCATGTGAAGGATTTTGGAAGGACCCAAGTGAAGGATCTAATATATATATTTAGGTTATTCACATCAACACTTACAGATCCATCTCCATCATTTTTGTTTAGGTATTTGTAGTCTTTTGCTATTGCAAACATTTATAGTGCAAGGAACATTCTTTTCCGTGTACTTGCCCTTGAGTTACATGTGAGGTCAAAGGATAAGTTGATGGAAGTGGGATGAATGAATCTAAGGGCTGATTAGCATTTTAAATGACCTGATTTCACCTCATCCATTGGGAGAGTGGGTCTGGGATCTGGCTGCTGAGCAGGGCCACAACCCTCAAAAGTTGGGGGGGAAACTCTTCATTCCTCACCTCCAGACAAGGGTGTCCTGATGACTGGTCTCTTCACAGGACGAGCGTGTCCCCCACCTGAAGACGACGAGCCAGGTCCTGAGTGATGCTCCTGAGCTGAGGGCCCATGGCCCCACCCTTCCCCATGGAGAAAGGACTCGCTTTACCCCAGGACTGCCGGGACTTTCTGCACAGCCTGAGGATGAGGAGCAAATATGCCCTTTTCCTGGCTTTTGTGGTGGTGGTTTTTGTCTTCATTGAAAAGGAAAATAAAATCATATCAAGGTGAGGGATGCAAGCGCAAAAGTCTTCCTTATCAGGGAGGGGTGGGTGGGGCAGAGAGGTAGCTATAGGGCTCTTTGTGGACGTACAAAGGCAGTCCTTCAACCAGTAATCATGAGGCCCCTCCTGTGCCCGGGGAAGTGGTCCAGCCCACGCCCCCAGGAATGCACAGGGGTGACACTTGGGCTCTGGACTCAGGTAGCCTGGGCTGGAATCTTGATTCCGGTCCTTTGTAGCTGTGACAGCTTGGACAAATTCACTTCTCTGTGTCCCAAGTTCCTCTTCTGTAAAATACGGCTAACAATGGGGCTTTCCTTATAGATTAAATTAGGAAATGTAAAACATTTAGCTCAGTGCCTGGCATGCAGTTGGTATCAAGTACTTGCTGACCATGGCTATTACTATTAATTTATTTCTTGGCTAGGATGATGCCTCACATTAACAGCACATCTGCTATACCAGCCTGAAGCCATGGGTGAGGGTGAGCCCATGGAAAGGCAGGGTCCTGGTACACGTACCCTGGTGGGCAGGGCTTCCATGTGCAGCTGTCCAGGTTGTATACTGCTAAATTCCAGGGGTGTGCACTCACCTCAGCTACACTGGGAATGCTGCCCCCTGAAATTGGCAATGTACCATTGTGTGCAGTGGCTCTTCTGCTGAGCCTGCTAGACACACAAAGTTTTTAGACATGCTCTCCCAGCGCAACACCCTACAAGGAAGCAGCCACCATGGATAGATTAGGAATTGGGCTGTGTGGCAGGCACTGTGTCACTGCCCCACCTGGGTTCCTCAGCATGGACTGTTCCAGGTCGTGCCCACAGGGTTCTACTACAAGCCCCTGCAGGGTCTCCACCAGAGAGCTTTCTCTCGACGTGCACACCGGCAAGCTAGGAATCCAGGGAGTAAATGCCTCTGGGAGCAGCCCTCAGCCAGGGCCAGCTGGAGCTTTCCTGTCCCCTGGGCGAGAGCATCCTCCAGGGTGTTCTACACTGTCTCCCAGGATGCCCCAGGGGGGTTGGTTTGCCCATAGGGACACCCTGCTCACCCTTTATAGACCTCTTTTTCTCCCCACCTCGTTTCCTACCTCTCTGCCAGTTCTTCCTGTGATCATGTCCCAAATAAACTACTTAACACTCAGATCCTTGCCTCGAAGTCAGCTTCTGGGGAAAGCCAGCTAAGACAGGCTCTGGGTGATCGGCCCGGGGAGGCTGCTTAGGGGTGCACAAGGGATGGAGTCCCCAGTCACTCACTGATTCCGACTTCCCTTTGTCCTCCTAGGGTGTCAGACAAGCTGAAGCAGATCCCGCAGCCCCTGGTAGACGCCAACGGCACCGACCCAGCCCTGTTCTTGGCCGACAACGCGTCCCTCTTGTCCCTGAGTGAGCTCGATTCGGCCTTCACCCAGCTGCAGGGCCGCCTGCGAAACCTCAGTCTGCAGCTGGGTGTCGAGGCAGCAGGGGAGGCCGGGGCGGCGGCGGAGGCCGGGGTCGGGGAGGAGGCGCCACCGTCACGCCGCGGGGCCCCGCCGCCGCGGCGCCACGTGCTCCTCATGGCCACCACCCGCACCGGCTCCTCGTTCGTGGGCGAGTTCTTCAACCAGCAGGGCAACATCTTCTACCTCTTCGAGCCGCTGTGGCACATCGAGCGCACGGTGGCCTTCGAGTCGGGAGGCGCCAGCGCCGCCGGCTCGGCCCTGGTCTACCGCGACGTGCTCAAGCAGCTGTTCCTGTGCGACCTGTACGTGCTGGAGCACTTCATCAGCCCCCTGCCCGAGGACCACCTGACCCAGTTCATGTTCCGCCGCGGCTCCAGCCGCTCGCTGTGCGAGGAGCCCGTGTGCACGCCCTTGGTCAAGAAGGGCTTCGAGAAGTATCACTGCAAGAACCGCCGCTGCGGGCCGCTCAACGTGACGCTGGCCGCCGAGGCCTGCCGCCGCAAGGAGCACATGGCCCTCAAGGCCGTGCGCATCCGGCAGCTGGAGTTTCTGCAGCCGCTGGCCGAGGACCCCCGGCTGGACCTGCGCGTCATCCAGCTGGTGCGGGACCCGCGGGCCGTGCTGGCCTCGCGCATGGTGGCCTTCGCCGGCAAGTACGAGGGCTGGAAGAAGTGGCTGGCCGAGGGGCAGGCGCGGCTGGGGGAGGAGGAGGTGCAGCGGCTGCGGGGCAACTGCGAGAGCATCCGGCTGTCGGCCGAGCTGGGCCTGCGGCAGCCCGCCTGGCTGCGCGGCCGCTACATGCTGGTGCGCTACGAGGACGTGGCGCGCTGGCCGCTGCGCAAGGCGCGCGAGATGTACCGCTTCGCCGGCATCCCCCTGACGGCGCAGGTGGAGGACTGGATCCAGAGGAACACGCAGGCGGCCCAGGACGGCAGCGGCATCTACTCCACGCAGAAGAACTCCTCGGAGCAGTTCGAGAAGTGGCGCTTCAGCATGCCCTTCAAGCTGGCGCAGGTGGTGCAGGCCGCCTGCGGCCCCGCCATGCAGCTCTTCGGCTACCGGCTGGCCCGGGACGCCGCCGCCCTCACCAACCGCTCCGTCAGCCTGCTGGAGGAGCGCGGAACCTTCTGGGTCACGTAGGCGGCCCCGGGCCCGCGCGCACCCCGCCTTGTGAAAGGCCCACCCTTGCCATTCCGCCGGGCCGCGCGATGCTGCCTCCCGCGGAGGGCGGGCGGCCTGGGGCAGTAGCCCTAGGGGCCCCGGCCAGCTAGCTCCCCGCCGCCGCAGCCTGGGGCCTGGGGTCTGTCACCCAGAGCCGGACAGCGCCTGTCCCGCGAGGGCCGCCAGGCCCGGACCTCAGGGGCTGCGGTCTCCTGAGCAGGCCCACGCAGGCCCAGAACTATCAACAAGCCTCTCTCTCTCTCTCTCTCTCTCTCTCACACACACACACACACACACACACACACACATGAAACACCCATAAATGCCTGCAGACCCTGTGGGCCAGAGTCCCAGTGTTGAACCAGAAGGGGCTGTGGGCCCGGACCAGTCACAGCCGACCACCTGCTGTACTCAGCGGTCATCTTTCAGTTTCTGGATTTCTACGCAATCCAGTGTGGAATCCGCATGGATCCCTGGGGAGGGACTGGAATAGCCCAGAATGTCAGAGGATGGCATTTGGGGCTTTTCAACCAAGAATGATTCAGTATTTTCATAAGTGGAGGAGCCGTGCTGGTGACTGATGAAATCAGCCCTGCACAGAACCATAGAACACCCGTATGTGTGTGAGGACAAGGCCTCTGTATACCACACACAGACCCAAACAATGTAGAAACCCAAATCCACACACGCATACACAGGCAAGCTTCCCTGTTGCTTTATGCCCACGGGATTTAACTATCGCACACCTCAAGAGGAGACTTTCGTTACATTTTTAGAATTATTTGAGGTTGGGGAAGGAAACACGGTCACGGACCATGACCCCGTTCCCGACCAGGTTTGGGACTGAACGGTAGACACAGAAGGGCCGAGTCTGCGACCCCTGTCCGCCTTGGTTTCTCCTGGCTACCTCCTCTGGCCTATTCGCATCCTCCCTGCTGGCAGGCAGGATGTTTTGAAATGGTGTGGCCAACCCTCACATGACTACAGCCCAAATGCCCCGTCCCAGCTGGGCTGGCTCCCTGAGACATGTCCCTGTGTGAAGGCTGCCTCGGGCCTGACTGGAGGCAAAAGGCAGCTGACAAGTCCTGCCATTTTCAGCCAGGCCTCCTGTGGGGCAGGGCCCAGAAGAGAGTGCGGAGTGCTCTTGGGGGAGAAGTCACATCAAGATACCCCCCTCCCCTGAGAAGACAGGGGACAGAGGTTGGTCACCATGGTTACATGGTTAGTGTCTGGGAATTCCAACTTTTAGGGCTCTGGGAAGAATGTTGCTCCACTTGGGATAGGCTGGGTGTTTTGTTTGGGTTTTTAAGAAAAAAAAAAGGTTATAGTTTGGTATCTTGTTTTGTGGCTATGTTTTTTATTTCCTTTCTGCAGGAGTGCAGCTCAGAAGCAATCTGGGCTTGAGGGGGCTGGGAGGACCAGCAAGGAGCACTCTGGCTCCTGCCGTTGGGAGAGGAGGAGGAGGATGGATCAGAGCCTAGGCGGCCACATGGCAGTCTGCAGTGCCCCACGGGCTTTGCTGTGTGTCCAGAAGCAACATAAATTAGTAGCTCTCGCCCTCTCCCCAAGACGAGGCCAGATTTGAACATCTCTTCCAGGTCCGAATGCATTTCCTGGGGGGTCAGGGGCCTATGGCCAAGCAGCAAATGTCCCCAAACTGGGGAGCAGAACTCAGTTCCCCTCAGAACTTGAAGAGCTGCACGACGAGTTCACAGGGCTGTTTCTGATTTCCTGGACAACTTCTCTGTCAGATCTGTCCTGTTGTCAAACCCAGAGGGCTGAGTTTCGGTTTGAGTAATACGGACACAAGGGAAATAGAGGATCTGAGTCCAGCTGGTGCTGCCATGGGGAGTGTGTCCTGGCCAGAAGTTGCTGTTTGAGACGGTGAGGACCGTAGCCATTTTGTGGGGTCTGTTCTGATCACTGCATTGGAGCTGCTGGGTCTCCATCACCATGGACTACAAGCCATTCAAGGTGGTCTCCAGTCTTGGCTTTCCGGTCCCAGAATAAGTTGTGCAGGGAGCTGGATCGAATTTGGGGTCCAAAGGGACACCAGCCCTGAAAACTTGACCCCGGGGCAGAGCGAAACCAGGATGTTTCTGGCGAGCACAGAAGTGCTGGCTTTCCCTCCCCAGCCCCCTTGCTCCCTGCACTGTGTCCCACCTGTGGTTGGTGGGGGGCTGGGGCAGGGACAAAGGCAGGCACCTCCCTCTGGGGCTCTTCTTGGGGCCCCCCTGGTGCGGATAGCAGACTTCTTCCTTCCTTCCTGTGCCTCTGGGGCCAAGGTCTCCACCCCTGCGCTCTGAGGACAGTGCCGAAAATGGACCTTTGGGATTTCTCAGGACGTTGACAATTTGTACACTGCAAGTTGACTTAATTTATTGATTTTGTGACAAAGAGACCTTAAATACCTTATTATTTGCAGGGACTCAAAGCTGTACCCAAATCAAGAAAGACGAAACAGTAATAGAAACCGTTGACTCGTGCCATACACACAAGGACACTCGAAGATGATGATTCAGAACACAAGAGAAGAGTAAACCCCAAGGGCGGCAGGTTGCATGGGCCCCGGGGTGTTATTTAAGGAGGTACCTTGGTTTTTTTCTTGTAGCTTGGAAGATGTGACATTGAAGGCCCTTTCTGCTGTATTTATTCCCTTTGCCCTGGTGTCTGAAACAGGACACAACTCGAGAGCACTCAGCAGCGCTCTGGGAACCCTCAGGGTTTGGGGAAGGACAGGGTGGGGGCAACTACTGACTTTACACCCTGGGGGACCTGGCTGAGGGTATGCATGTGGGGGTTTCAGCAGGCAGCTGGGCCGAGGAAGGTGGTCCATCTGGGGCGAGTGCTGCCCTTTCATCGAGGCCAACCTCGGGCTTCTCTGCTCTTGCTGGCTCTAATGGGAGCCTCCCTGCCACCGCCACCCCCCACCCACCCACCCACCCCCGCCTGCAGAGCATCCACCTGCCTACAGGCAGAGGGAGCTGTTGAGGCCTTGCCTCTGGGGCTGCCAGCTTGGCCCCATTCAGCAATGAGTGTTTACTCATTTTCTTTTTCTTGAAGACCTCTTTAGCCTGGCCTATATAAATAGTTCAGAACATTCCAGGCCTTAGTGAGACGGGGCAGTGTCTAACACCCACAGGCTGTCACTGTGGCCACCTTTTCTGGCTTCTCCTCTGGCCTTGTTTGTAAACCTTGGAGGGGCTAAGGGCACCGGGTTGGGGGCAGGGGTCTTTGGGAACAGTTGGTGCGGACCAGGGTCCCTGAGTCCCCACAGAGAGAAAAACATAAGCAGATTTGCAGCTCTGTGGCACTCCCCCTCTACCCCACGCCACCCTCCTGCCCCACCGCTGCAGGTTATCACCAAGTTCTTACTAAGGTTGAGGACATGAACAAAATCTAGCCTTTGGTCCCTTTATGTGATACATACACTTGAAAATAAATAACTAAATGAATAGGAAAAAAGTGTTTAATGAAGATTTACTCCCTGCCAGTACCCTCAGCCAGGGGCTGGTCTAACAGGGCAGCTGCTGACAGGACCCCTGAGAGCAGAGGGCCCACCCAACCCATTACAATGGCATCTTTCCCCACCACCTCTGTCCTCTCTGATGATGGAGCAAGGTCCAGCAGGAAGTCAGGGGATTCCCTGTTCCAATAGATGGGCATTTGGCCTGGAGAGGTAAGCATCAGATAGTTTGGACCTGATCCCAGAGGTCTCTTCCAGCCCTGGTGGTCCTTTCCCACATTAGGGCCTATTTTAATTGACTCTAGGGCCTGCCCCTTACTAGGCCTTGGATTATGAAGGATGGGAGCAGAAGAGCAGATGGCCGCGTCCCTGAGGCAGTCCCTTGCTCCCATCCCCGAGGCTGAAAGCAAAGGCAGGTCCTGAAGGGATTGATTCTGGGTCAGGAAGAGAAGGGGCAGGGCATGGGGAAATGCATCTGCAGAAGCCAAGTAGGTCTTGCCGATCTGCACAAAGTGGAAGGAGCATCCCAAGGGTCCCAGGTTGGTGGGTTTGCTAGTGGAGACTGCCAGGACATGGTCCAGCTGGATGAGAGGCAGAAGCTTCCTGATTGCAACCACAGCGCCTCTCAGCTGCCCACAGTTTCAGGAATAGTGGGAGCTGCCCTTTACCTCAGAAGGTTGAAGCAGAATTGGCAAATTCAGATGCCGTAAGAGCTTGGAGATCCTTTGGTCCCGTGTCCTCTGTCATTCCATGACTGTGCCTGGGGGACGAATGAGTTGTGTGTTTCCAAGGATACGGACGCAGTGCCATCCCCATGGGCCCAGCTCATTATGTAGACCAGGTATTTTATTTGGGAAAATACGCTGCTTCCTCTGCCATTGGGCTTGAACTGGGCACCCCAGAAGTCTCCATCTCGTCTGTATGTTCTAGGCCAAGTTTGCCTGGCTCCCCTGCTCCCTCCTGGATCCCACAGACTCTGTCTTTTTGCCAAGATCCCGGCCCTATGTCATGTTTCATGGCCACGTGGTATGGGGCACTCCCTTCATGGTCATGTGTGTACATATGTGTCCACACGTGTGTATGTGTAGCACGCAACTCATTCTGCTCAGCCGCCTTGCCCCAGCCCCCTTGCCATTAAACGTCCCAGATGTCCTTGCCATGGCTGCCATGTGCCGTCTCCTGGAAATGCAGGGGCCACCGCCGGTCACGGTCTGCTTTGTGGAACAGAATGTGAACCATCACTTGATGGCTTACTTGACTTATTTAATTAAAAATGAAAACACGCAGTGAGCAAAATCTGAAGTGTGTCTCTGCCTTTCTTTTTGCATTTGTTCTCGGCAGCAACCAAAAATTAACAAGAACAAAAATGAGCAGCAGTAGGAAAGGGGTGACTTCTGGCACGAAGCAGGGCAGAGGAAAGCTCCTGAGAAGTGAAAGACACACGGAGGGGTGGCTACGTGCAGGGGGTGTGATCGTTGTTTATGTTACCAGGATGGCAGAGCTGGTGGGAACCGTGCTTGGAGTCGGCTGCAAGAATGCGGTCTGACACATCAATACCCAGGTGTTCTAGGGCAGGGACAGGAGCATTGGCTAGAGGTCAGGGGACCAGGGGACAGGTCCCAGCATTGCCGCTGTCTGGCCCTGTGACCTCGGACAAGTCACTTCTCTTATCAGAGCCCGAGGTTCCTTGAGAATGAAACATGTAATCAGTGGTTCCAAAGTCAGCTGAAAAAGCAGGCAGTGCCTCTCACACAGAGCACCTGTATATTTTCTGCTTCACGTGTTGAAATGGCACCTAAGATTTCCTTGGGCGTTCAACAAAATCTCAAAAACCGCATGAGGAGATTGCTAAAGGCCCTTTCGGCTAAGAAATTTAATGGAGTCCTTTCAAATTGTTATTATACGGCTGTATCAGTCCTCATAACTATAGTGCGAATTCGATTTTGGCCCTTTTGTCTCCAAACAGCCACCTGGAGGCAGTAGGCGTTTCCCCAGGGAGAAGAGAGAAGGTTCGTTTTGGAACAGAAGACAGAGCTGGTAAAGCTCTGTGGCTTTGGGGGCCCAGGTGAGACGAGGACAGTAGCAAGCTTGAAGAAGCAGAGAAGGGCTGAGGACTGGTGAGCAGTTGGGTACCTGGAGTGAGGGGGTGACAACAGAGGGAGGCATGATAGGAAGGAATGGGACCCCTCCCCCAAAACTCAGACCTATACCTCTGCCCAGGCTGGGCCTTGGGAACTCAAACCATTTTCCTCCCAAACCCTAAAAACTCAACCGTGTGCATTATCCCAACCTGAGTACTCTGCCGCCCCCCACCCCCCCCAGTCAGGTGCCACTGCTGTCTCCACTCTCCTGGGGACTGGATATATTTAGTTTAACTTCTGGGCTATGTTTCCTACCACAAATGACCTCCTGGAGGAACAAATTGCCATAATCATAGAGCAGAGAAGTCGGGAAACCTTCCCACCCACTTACCCCCTCAGTCACCAGCCCAGGCTGGAGCCATCTTTCCTCTCTGCTCGCAGACCTTTTGGGACTCCTGAACCTTCCTCCATTATACCCCAAGTTACCCAACCCTGGGAAGGAGCCAAATACTCCCCAGGGTCTCTGAGGGAGTGACAGTCCGCTGGATCCATCTGGGAAGCAGTTTGACCACCAGCAGGGGCCGGGGACCTGTGTCCTTTGCTCACGGCAGGCCCGGCACTGTGGTCTGCATCAGTGTGTCCCCAAGTGTGGCTGGAGAAACTGTGGTCACCTAACCGCTCTTAGGAAGTTATGGCGCACGTTAGTATATTAAAGGCTCTGAGAAGGTCTGCTTTTCTTTGCCCCAGCTTACCAGAATTCACTCAGAACCATTTTTATGGGTAAAATTCTTTCATCATGAAAAGTGGTTTTTTTGCCAAACAACATTTTCAAGACTCTGGCATTCTACAGGTCCCTTTGTAGCTATCAGAAACCTGCAAATATAAGCATATGGGACTAAAAGCCATGATAAGCAGAAAAGAAGGTTGTGGGTGAAGGGGGTGGGGAGAAGTTCAGGAGGGAGCTTCGGGGCCCCATCCCACCTTCGTGCCATTCTCAAGGGGCTGCAGGCTAGGAGCAAGAGTTGACCCTTCGAGATTGTAGCAGCCTTAGGGGCGCTGGGGGTCAAAGTTCATACCCCAAGGCATCCATGCTGCTGTTGTAAAACCTCCTGGTCACCTGATACCCTGGGTCCTTGGCTTCCTTAACTCAGCCCACACCTGCAGAGCCTCTGCGGCATTACCCAAAAGGTACGGTAACCCCCACAGAGAGCGGGGACCCTGGGGAACCAGGCCAGGCATAAACACCACAGGACACTATTGATCTGAGCTTGGAGGTAACTCTTAAAGGAGCCATTTCTGGAAGAGCCGGGCAAAGGTTACCAACAGTAAACAGGCTCCCTGGAGATGTAATCCTCTCGTAGCTAGTAAACCCCTCGCTAAACGCTGCTGTGCGGTTTATTGAAAGAACAAGCAAGTAGTAAAGGCTCAGCGGGAGAGGCTTGCCCAGGAAAATCAGACCATGAGAAAGAAGGGGGGGCGGAAGGGGGGTGGGGGAAGTGACAACAAGGAGGGGGCATCCTCATGAGATGCAGGGGAGGAAGACAGCCAAGGTGCTAAAAGAGGACACCCACGAGGATAGCCACGGCTGCAATGTCCAAGCACTCAGGGCCCAGGGTGCGCGTGGCCCCGCACACCCCCGGCCATGGATCGAATCTACCCTGTGGATGTGGGGCCCACACAGTGTCTGGTTTCGTCTTTAGCAATTGGCATTAGAGGCCGACACTTAAAAGATAAGGGGTTTTATATGAAAACCAGCTTTCCACTTCCTCTAGAACATCAGGTGTCTTGGTTTGAGTAACACCTGGGGTTGATGCTGAGACGAGGGTTAGAGAGCAAAGGGTTTATTTTTGTCATTGCACACGACTGAATTTTTAAGGGTTGGGAGGAAAATGGTTTGAGTTCCCAAGGCCCAGCCTGGGCAGAGGTACAGGTTTGAGTTTTGGGGGAGGGGTCCCATTCCTTCCTATCATGCCTCCTTCTGTTGTCACCCTCCCCTAGAGAGCAGGGGAGGAGGGAAGCGAGACAGCTAGTGAAGGGTGCACTGGTAAGCCAGCTGCCCCCTTGGGCAACTGGAGCAGAAGCCCTCCGGGAAACAGTATAAAGCCCGTGCCTTAGAATTATTCTACCTGAGGGGGAAGATGAGGGACCCTGGAGTATTCCTACATCAATCCTTGTCGGATTTTGGCTGAAGGCTGCTTTAGGGGAATATTAATTCCCCAGCACAGTCTTGCTGGCAGAACAGCATTCCAGAATTCTGGAACAAGCCTTCAGGCCCAGAGATGCAGGCAGTTGGAAGTTTCCGGAGCTCAGCGTAAGTATGCAGAGCAAGGTGTAAGGAGGGGAGGGGTCTGACAGCACCTGCTCCTGGGTGGTGTGGGGCTCTCATTCCCGCAGGGACAATGCGCTACAGCTGGGGGAAGGCAGCAGTCGCTCCAAGGGGAGAAGAGCCGGGTCCCACGTTCCCCTGGGCTCTCCAACACTGAGGCACCATTTACCACAGCACTGATATTTTACCTCCGACTGAGACATCTCTGTGAATCCTCATCTGTCCATGAGGGCTACTGCTGTGACTCCATTCATTATAATAGCTCCCCAGGACCCAGAGGCCTTTGCGTTTTCAACCTCCAGCTTGAAGTCCTGGTGGCATGCTGGGGTCTGAGTAGGCTTTCCCAGCAAGGCCTACCCCAAGGTCCTTAACACTTAAATCTGAGGAATAAGCTGGTTAGTCCGGAAATCGTGGGCTCCGCCTCTGTCTGCCTCATCAGAACATTGAACTTAACTGCCCCGTCTACACCCACCTGGGTTTCTCCTGCCCACCCCGCCCCCAGAGCTGCTGTTACCTACTCGAGCAGGGGGCCAGAATGAGCAGTGAGAAAGAAGGTGATTTTGCCCACCTAGAGGCTGGATGGGGCCAGCCTGTGTCCAGTCCATACCAGAGCTGTCCTCCCTGGAAAGTGCATAGCGGGTGATGCTCACCTGTGGGGTACACAGGACCCCTGGGCGTGCTCTTGCAATGATCGGCGTGGCAATCCCCAGTGCCTGCATTCAAATGCCACCCCGTTCTCTCTCACCCAGGAAAGCTCAACAGAGGGCCCCAGGGGGCAGCAGGTGCTAGGGCCTGGAAGACAAAGAGGACTGGGAGCCCGTGTGGCCCGAGAAAGAGCTTGCTTCTGGGGAAACAGGAAGCTGGAGAGCAGAGCTGGGCCTGAATGCTCAGAAGTCTCTAAGCCACACTAGGAAGGAGCTGGACTTGATCCTTCGAGCTAGGGAGCCACTGAAAGGCAGAGTGAAGCAGAGTGGCCTGCTGTGATCACTGGACCCCATTTCACAGATGAGAAGAGTGAGGCCCAGACACTGACACGACTAGCAAGTGTTAGGATGTGAATCCACGTCTCCCATCCTCATAGGCCCTTCTGTCCCATCCTTTGCCTCAAGTCTCCCACTTCGATCTGGTGAGAGCCCTCAGGTCATGGAGATGCCAAGGAGGCACAAGCGCAGAACCGAAGGCTTCCCTTCGGGCTCATACACGACAAGCCCGACCCCTCTTCTAAGTGCCCACTTTGCGAAGTCTGCCCCTGAGTCTGCTCTTCTCCAGGCTTGAATAACATCAATGTGTCCTAGCTGTGTGACCTTGGACCAGTGAATTGTCCTCTCTGCGCCTTAGGTTGCTCTCGTGTAAAATGGGGACAATATCAACATGAAGGACAGGGATATGTGCTGTGTGCCTGGTTCATGATGAGCCCTTAATAAACAGGTACTGCTTTACTTGAGGTCTTTGCCCCATGCTCGTCCTCCTCTGGACGCCCCTCAGTTAATCAGTGAATTGACAAATATTTTGAAGGCTGGAAGGGAGGCCCAAATAGAACTTATAATGGGACCCAGGGCCAAAGAGAATGGGTGCCTCAGCACCTGCCCCAGGCAGTCAGGCTGCCCTTTGTCCTAAATCCTGAAAAGCAGAGCTGAGCTTCAGGGACAGACCCGAGATGCCCCATGGAGTTCCTCCAGAGTTTGGCTAAGTGAACAGGAGCTAATCCTGTTTCCCCTTGTAAGTTTCCATTAATTCCCCTTCTTTACCATTCTCTTTTCCCCTGGCTTGATGGTGATTTCTCTAAGCAGCGTCCCTTCCGGGAGAACATGCCCTCTGCCTTTCGTCTGTATGAGTGGAGAGACTGACGCTGGGGGACCAAGATCTGGGCTGAGGTCAATTCATTCAAAACACTG